ATGAATCTTCATCGACTGAGATGGTTGGGCTACGTGTTGCGTATGTCTGAACACCGATTACCACGACGCGCAATGCTCACTGGTGTTAAGAGTGATTGGAAGAAAGTTAGGGGCGGCCAAACTAAAACGTGGCATCAGTGCTTGAAGTCACTAACTTCGGGTCTGAGCCATGTTGGGAGATGCAGACTGCCTGGTTGGTGTCCGCGTGACTATCGTAACCAATGGTTGGAGACTCTTGGTGACATGGCTCAGAATTGATCACAATGGCGTCGGTGTATACACTCTCTGTCTTCCTTTAAACTAAGAGATTAAAATCGCTTCATGTCTTTCTTTCTACGAACTAATTCTTTCTTCCTGTACTATCTCCTTATACACAATCTTTCTTCTATATATTACCACCACTGAACTAACTACTTCTATGAATTTGGTGTTCATCTTGCTGTGCTAATGCGGTATGGCAACTTAGGTCGATGCATATACGTGCCTGGTCCTACGTTGCAGCTGACTGACTAAGCAGACTTTATATAGGTATTAATTGATTCCCCTCACTACACACTATTTGATCAACCTAATTCCAGTTTTAAATTTTTAACCTTTGTTGGGTTGCCTAACTTATATTGGGTAGGTCCCTCTTTCACAAACTATTTTACAAATATTCGAGAAAAAACGATCATTACACTAGGAAAATTGTCAATTTCTCTTAGACTTTAACTTATTTGATGTGTCGTAGTTAATACACTATTGAACATGTATGTTTATTTTCTGTTACTGATAGCCCGACCGTAGCTGCTACCTTGACGTGGTGGTCGGGCTTGCCTATCGTGATGACCCAACCGAGCTATATTGGCTGGAATATATGTTCCTGCAGGTTCTACCATGTCAGGCAGGTCAACTGGAGAACGGTAAGACTAAAAGCAGCAACTCAAGGTCTGAGGGCGAAGTCGTACTGCTGACTGTACAGAGGTGTGACAGCAGTAAGGTGTTTCCCTCGGACAACCAGCATCTGAAGCGATGCTGCCTTCTCACAAGGAAGGAAGGGGTTAGAAAAGGTTGACACTAAAAATGTCACACCTCACCTTACCCCACGGATTTCCGTCTCCGGCGGTAAGGCCGTTTGAAGAACGGAGCTAACACATTGAAAACATCCCACAAAAAGGCCGTGCGCGACCGGCCTCAAGCAGTTGTCCCTTGGGCTCTGCGGTCACGCACTCAGGTCGCTAAGACCAACACTAATCCGATTTCCTTTTCAGGTCCCTCAAGAAATACCCTTCCACGGTGTGGGCAACCGGGAAGTGATATCAGCCCTCATACCCATAACAGCAGACGAGACCAAGTTGGTCACATTCAAATCCTTCCTACACCTCCTAATAACTCTCTTATCTCCATGACTAACCCTTCTTACGTCCCTTTATCACCTCGCCCCGCTAGTGCGAACGATTCGAGTACGCGGAATGTTATTCCTGGTCTCCTGAAACCACGCTCCAAACTACACGTAGGAGCTTTCAACGTCCGAACACTGTGCCAAATAGGACAACACGCTTCCCTAGCTAAGACTTTAGAATCTCGCTCCATCGATGTGTGCTGCGTCTCCGAAACGCGCACACAGAATCCTAGTAGTGTCAAAGTAACGAACCAACTCGATTTACGCTTCGTGTATCTGGAAGCCCTGATGCTGCTTCCCGTGGCCTCGCTGGCGTAGGTATAGCATTGAGTCCTAGGGCAGAACTAGCTCTCTTAGACTGGATCCCAGTAGACAGTCGTTTGTGTGCTGTCCGACTAAACGGAACAGTAAGGACTCGAAAAGATAGGGACACTCGTCGTTGCCTCTTCGACGTCTCTGCCTACTCTCCCACTGACTACAGCTCAGATGATGTAAAAGATGAGTTTTACAGAAAGCTTTCCGACCTTCTCCAAAAAGCTAGGCGTTCAGATGTAGTAATAGTGGCTGGTGACTTTAATGCTCAAGTAGGTAAACTAAGCGAAAAGGAAAGACACTTGGGTGGATCTTATGGTGTCGCGGTTCAAAGAACAGATAACGGCGACCGTCTGTTGTAGCTATGCTCAGATAACAGCCTGTTTCTTGCAAACATTAACTTTAAGCATAAGGAAAAACATCTTTTAACATGGCGACCCCCTAATTCGTCTCAACGCTGGACCCAAATAGATCACATCGCTATCAGCCACCGATGGAGGGGCTTGATAGAAGACTGTCGCTCATTCTGGTGTACATGCTTAGACTCATCATGCTCTAGTGCGAGCGCGTATTTGTCTGTCTTACTGAACGTAGGAAACATTCTGCAAGGAAACACCTTAGGGTCCTACTTAATGAGAGTCAAGCTAAGAGTATATTTCAGGAACATCTAGAAAAACAGTTAGACAGCCATGTAAGTGACGCCCACCCCGAGGCAGCGTGGAATGACATCCGAAAAGCTGTAGAAACAGCAGTGATGTCTGCAAGTACGCTGAACCATAAGGTTAGCGAGAAACACTGGATCTCAGCAGCATCTACCGCACTGATAGATGCTCGAAGACTCATTCCATCTGGCTCTGAACATAACGAAGAGCGGAGTCAGCTTAAGCGTAAGCTGACAAGAAGCCTACGCAAAGATCGTGAACAGTGGTGGGTAGCGAAAGCAAGAGAGATGGAAAAGGCAGTGGCAATAGGTAACAGTAGGCAACTGTTCAGACTTGTTATGGAAACCGGTATTAGGAAGCCAACTGTTAGCGAAACTATCTCCGAAAAAGATGGACATATTATTCATTCTCAATCCAAGAGATTGGACCGATGGGCAGAATACTTTAGGGATCAGTTCAACTGGCCTTCAGCCACACTTCGGTTTCCCACGATCTCCAGTCGACCTGAATGGCAAGTTGATGTAAGTCCTCCAACTCTTTACGAAGTTGAGAAAACTATAGGAAATCTGAAGCGTGGGAGAGCAGCAGGTCCTGACAGGTTTACCCCTGAGATTTTTAAGGATGGCGGTCCAGTATTAGCAGCGAGTTTGAATGAGGTCTTAGGTAGATACTGGGAACTGGACGTAATTCCATCTGACTGGTCTCAATCACTGATTGTGCCAGTCTATAAGAAAGGACAAAAGTCTTCTTGTGACAATCACAGGGGAATTAGTTTGACTAATATAGTGTCTAAAATATTAGCTTCAATAATACTTCGACGTCTAACCAAAGCTCGTGAAGAGCAGACTAGAGAAATCCAGGCTGGTTTTCGACCTGGACGTGGTTGTATAGATCAGATATTCACACTACGTCAGGTCCTAGAACATAGACACACATTCAGACGCCCCACAATGGTAGTATTTCTCGACCTTAAGGCGGCATTTGACTCTGTTGATCGTGAGGTTCTATAACAGTGTTTGTCACTGAAGGGAGTACCAAAGAAGTACATCAACCTTATAAAGGCTCTCTACTCGAACACAACTATTCGAGTGAGAGCTTATGGTGAACTGTCATCAGAATTGATTACTTCAAGTGGTGTTCGTCAGGGCTGTCCACTCTCTCCATTCTTGTTTAACTTTGTCGTTGACGTCCTTTTAGAGATGACACTTTCCTCATCTAAATTTCCAGGAGTTGAACTTCTACCGGGAGATTCACTTGTTGACTTAGAATATGCCGATGACATAGTTCTATTTAGTGAAGACGCTGACAGAATGCAGAGTCTGCTGACCACTCTAAGCAACAATGCAAGCATATTCGGCATGCGATTCTCCCCCTCGAAATGCAAAATGTTGCTTCAGGATTGGGTTGCGTCGACACCCGAACTAGTGATAGGGAGTGAAGTAGTTGAGCGTGTCGACCGTTTCACTTATCTGGAAAGTCTCATCAGCCCTTGTGGTTTGGTGTGTGACGAAATCTCAGCACGGATACAAAAGGCTCGACTAGCTTTTGCCAACTTGCGTCATTTGTGGCGTAGGCGAGATATCCGTCTATCAACCAAAGGACGTGTTTACTGCGCAGCAGTTCGTTCTGTCCTACTTTATGGCAGTGAAACATGGCCAGTAAGAGTAGAGGATATTCGTAGGTTACTAGTATTTGACCATAGGTGTCTTCGAAACATCGCTCGTATATCCTGGGACCACAGAGTAAGTAATGCAGTTGTTATGAAACGGGTACTAGGTAAGGATGGTAAATCAATTGAGGAAGTAGTGAAACTTAATCAGTTGAGATGGCTGGGACATGTGCTGCGCATGCCCGACCACCGACTGCCCCGACGTGCTATGTTTTATGGTGTAGGAGTAGGTTGGAAGAAAGCTAGGGGCGGCCAGACCAAAATATGGCACAAATCCATGAAGTCACTGACAAGTGGACTGAGTCATGTTGGTAGGTGTAGACAAACTGGTTGGGGACCGCGAGACGATAGCAACCGATGGTTAGAGACCTTGAATGACATGGCTCAAAATCGTTTGCAATGGCGCAGGTGCATCCACTCTTTGTGTTCTCTCAAACTCTAATCTTCTGAATTCTTCATGTCCTTTATTTTCTTTCCCAATTTATTCCACTGGACTATACTCCTTTAATAACATCATCAAACCTTAATGTCCCCTATCTCTACTTATACTTTCAGTACCTCTACCACTATGGGATTTGAATCGATAACTGAATCTCTATGCTAATGTGGTATGGCAACTCGAACTGATGTACGTACGTACGAAGTTCCACGTTGTTACTGACTGACTGACTGACTGTTACTGATAGAAAAATGATTTGTCTATAAACAGACATAGTTCCAAGTTAAGATTGTTAACAATTTTATTAACTAATTTATCAAGCAAAATTTTCCATATGGTCGACGTTGTACAATATGATAGATTAAAAAGACAGTTGAAAGTAATAATGATTTCGACATACACCGTTAAAATGCAAGAAAGATGATAAAGTCTAGATTGTAATAAAATGATACGTATGAAATTACAACATACACTGATTGGTAACATTAACTGAAGGTTACCGCTTAGTAGATATAAATAGATTTTTACATCACTTACCTGTAGTTCATTCCCAGAAATCGGCTTCAGAATACGACCCATCAATGGTTTGACCCATGTCCCCTTCGGTGAAAATTTCCTTTTTATTCCTTGAACGAACTAGATAGGCAGAACAACAATAATGATAAAAATGATGTTTGTAGTAAGGAATCAGAATATGTAATTGTGCTTCGACTTCGACAATAATCATAGATGTGTTAATAAAACGAGGACAAGAGACTAGTGAAATATGAACTGTAATCAGGCTATTAGTATACAAACGATAAATGATAACATCTTGTGAATGAACTAATGTCATTGCAGGATTTCCTAATGAAATGATAGACTGATCAGAAAACAAATACTGCTGATGTGCGACATTTACAATGTCCATCCTTTTCTATACATTTTATGAAATATCGAAAAAAAAATGCTCACTATTAATGTATCCATAGCTTAGAACTGTGGTGTATCACACAGTGAGTACTGTGTTTATCGATTTCCCAAATATGAGTTGATAGAATGATTAACAATAGATCATGAAATTTCACAAAAACCTCATTGGTTACGTTTTCAGTGATAAAACTATCGGTAAAACAGCTTTGAGATTAAGCACAATTTTTGAGAACTCGGAACGACTGAAATTCATAATCTGCAATATGAATATCCGACTATGACAAAAAGAAGTGTGATGATAATTGGTTCAGGTATATGTAGAAAAAAGACGCGGTATCAAATCATTGAATATCGATTTGGTCTATGAAATCAGAACACTTTTAATCAAAGTTAGTCATAAGTTTGTCTACAAACTGTCATAATGAAAATTCATTAAAATCTAAGATATCATACATACAGTATATTTATAATACAATAATAAAAACGAGACATTAATTAATGAATGATGAGAACTAACCTGAACAACTGATTCCCGTACACAAGTAACAATAGATGGATCCTTATGAAGGGTTGGCGATGTTGAGTTTATGGTTACGTCAACACTTTGACCTGAAAATAAAACAGTATCATTAGTGTGACCTGACAAATAAATATGTGTTAATATACTAAGATTTTTGAATCATATGTGCAGTGTGGAAGATAGTAGTACCAACCATTGAATACGATTGTCTAGCAAGCAACAAATAAAAGGTTCGCAGCCACTTGCATAAGTCAATTCCAAAGATCATGACATCATGAATGGATGAAACCCCCTAAGTCCGACAGCCACTTACCCTCCTCAAAACAAACTACCACGTTGGGAGTGGGAAGTGGCTGCCAGACATATTCCAAACACCTTGATAGAAAATGATTCATAAACTCTAGAAAAAGATTTACAACGGTCAACAGATACAAACAGTTAATAGATACTAAAAAGAACTACCTATACAAAAAAGCGTACTCAAAACTTTGAAGGATAAAATGATAAAAAACAGTAGAAATGTCAGGTCTATTTACCATTCATATTTTGTTCATCAGTATTAGAAACAACGGAATGATTTGTTAAATCAGTTTTATTGCACAACCCACAGGTTGATTCAAGCAGTGAGTCAGTTATCTGTAATAAGATGTGAGAAATAAAATAGGATCATACGTTAAACACAATAATGAAGCATCTCGAGTGGAACAAATGTATACTACAATTCAATTTTCAATGTTCATTATCACCTGGGACTTTTAAAGACAGTTTCACGCTTCAACAGTAAATACATCAGTTAAAAACTATGATACCTCCTAAAAAAGGGTTGGACAAATTCACTAAAGACAGACAACCACAAAAACTGATAGTTCACCAAAAAAGTTAAAGCATAATGTCTGAAGAAGAAACCCTGAGAACTAGTGACTGGCTTCAAAAGGTATATCCTGGAGTTCTAGTGAGAAGTAGTGACCAGTGGAGTTCAACCAGGTCTGTTGTGAGATAGTAACTCACTGAAGACAATGGTGGATGTGTCGCTCAATTTCGTGGATTAGTTGAAGTTAGACATTAACACCGTCGGATGCCGGCTCAGTGGTCTAGTGGTTAAGTGCTTGCGCGCGAAACCAGTAGGTCCTGTGTTCGAATCTCGCAGGGGGCGAAGTCGTGGATGCGCACTGCTGAGGAGTCCCACAATAGGACGAAACGACCGTCCAGTGTTTCTAGGTTTTCCATGGTGGTCTAGCTTCAACTGACTCATGATATTAACCATTGAAATTACTATAGTATCCACAAAACCCATCTGATATTAAGTACAACAATATTTTATTATAAAACAATCAGTTAATAGTACACAGAACGATTCTACAAGTAATTTACTGTACAGTTGAAGAGTAGCCACCATAATATTAAAAATGGTTAATCATAACTATATGCATAGGAAATTGCCAGCAATTTTAACCATTCACAAAACACCTTACGTAAAATTGCTAAATAGATTTCATGTGTCTTAGTGTTTAATATGAATAAATATAAAGAAATGATTTTAAGTAACAACCTTGAAAAAAAATGGAATTCCGGGTTATTTCTCTCAACTTTATTAACGTTACCTACCAAACAAGGGACAAATGAATATAAGACATTATCATAATTATTAGCTCATATAATTACAACAAAGACTAACCTGTCCATCTGAGTTAATTTCTATAACTGAAGAAATAATAATAATAACATTAATAATAATAATAATAATAATAATAATAATAATAATAATAATAATAATAGTATAGAAACAAAGTTTTAACATTATGATCTGAAAGATTCTAAATTCGAATTTCAAGAGGAATGTAATTAGTAGGTGTGTGTATGTGTATGTAGACTGCATACCACTTACAGAAACTCCGCTCAGTTAAAAGAGAACATCACTAAGATTTGACCTGAAGTAAAATTGTAGTCTTCACGGTTAGTTTCAATAAATCTCGAAACAGCATGTTTTCACGATTTTCTCCGAACTGGTTTGCTAAACACAAAATTATTATCCAATTTATATCTTTCTAAAATCACATATACATAACCAAATTAACCTTGAAGTAAAGGTTTATTCATATCACCGCCTTTGTCAAGTGATAGAACATTGATGCGATATGTAGTCCGACTCAATTACAATATACACATGCTTCGTAAACACGTGTCTCGATCGATATGCAAAATAAGAAGACTGAGAGTGACTGAAAAACTTGAATTTAAAATCCCATAACAATGAACACAAGTTGTAGGTGTTTATGTGTTGGTCCTGACTGACACATAAAACGACATGAAAGCTAAGACGTTGATTAGGGTACAAAAACTTTTCTTAATAGCATGCCTCATTTGTAATTTCTCACCTACCGCGTACTCCTGAGACATGCGATTTCATCTGGTTTTCATAATATGAAACGTCTAAATTCAGTGATTTATCATTTTCCTCTCATGTGAGATTTTTCTGCTGGCATTCAGTCGAAGTGAGGAGACATCAATCATTGACTACTGACCAGAACTGTACAAACAGCTGTAGATTTATTGGTTGTAGTCAGAAAAGAAGCAAAAATATTCTACTTATAAGTTAAATGTAATGGGTATTTAAAAACTATAACGTCAGTAATTAGATAAATATCTTACCATTCTGAACAGAAAAATACTGAGTACTGGGTGAATATAATTTATTGTCATGAGACTCGGAACCTGGTGCCTGTTTAAAAGTTCGAAATAAAAAAGCTTAAAATTGTATCAGAAAATTCAAATATACGATTCAATAAAAAAATATAGCAATCTAAGCTCGTGCTACATATTTCGACAGAACAATATGCAGGATAGTGGTATGTAGAGTGAACAGGGGTGTAGTTCAAATCATGTTAGAAAATATTGCTTATACAAATTGCAGCTTTGCCAGCTATATATTTCCATAGTTTCTATGGATAACCTATTCGAAAGCCTTATGGAAAGTTAAGTGACCTCTAAATAGCACATGAAGTATCTTGCAAACGCATATAATGAAAATAGTATTTGGGACAACTATAATAACATATATATACCGAGAATCCTATGTATTTGATTTTATTTTTATAAGTCTTCTTTCAGAAAACCGATATTTTATTTTAAATTATGTCTTTTCATTCTAAATAACGAAAGTTATTAATGACTAGCACTGAAATTCGGGTTAACTACTTTAAGCAAACGATTCCGACTACCAGAAATCTATGCAAGGTGACAAGCTAATTTAGATTCCAGTACAATAACGATTCGAGTAAGAATTGTTGTATGAGAGTTACAAATAGTCCTCTACCCAAAGTCCTACCAAAGATAAGAATAATACACATATTGATCTGTAACTCGACAGTGATATTCAGAACGAAGTCTTAAGGATTCGCATGGCCAGATAAATGAAGAAAACATTTAATGCCGATATACTACAGTTTCACAAATCAACCACTCATTGGTTAAAAATGAGTAAAGGATATGTTACCTCATTCGATCATTTTGATGTAAATTAGTTTGATCATATGCAAATGTAGAGACAGATACACAGTTTGTCGACCGAGCAACATTAGGACGCATAAGACAGCACATTGAAGCATGGTTCAGTGAAGGAAAAAGTGGAACTGTGCAAATAATTATGCGTGCAAAAGCAGCATCGAAATCAATATTACGAGAAGCCTATCATATCAAACCAAATCTACTAACTGGTGTACTCAATATCAATTTGTTTTTCCTTCCTCAGTCAAGAAACTTCCGCAATGATTAATTGGTTTCTGCATTTTTTCAAAGGAGCAACAGACAACGGAAACCTTGTAGAAATTGTAACTGATGATTCATCGGTCATCGCTTCCGCAATCATGGTAGTGTATCCTGATTCACATTTATTGTGTCGTGAATAGAGTTATCACACTAACACCATGACTTCAACTCATTATGTATTGGTGTGAAGTAGATTAAGAGAACTTATTAAACACTAGTGAAACGACTTCTGGAAAACTACTCTCCAAATCATACAAATCATAAAAGTTCCACATCCAATCAAAACTAAATGTTTCTAATGGGATTTACAACCAATTAGATACTTATTATAGGGGGAGTATAATTGTGGACAAATTAGACACATTTTAATAATACTTAAACCAATCATTATTTTTTTTCCAGTATTTCTTTAATATTTATGGTCATATCCTGAAAAAATTAACTTCAGGTGTACAAAAATACAACAGTCGGTTCAGTGTCACTTCATTATCAACTGCCCGTAAACACCAAAGTCGCAGTTCACAAAAAAAGCGTCAAGGTAGTTCTACTGTGAGAAGCTAAGACTTGGAAAACTACTACAACCATCATTAAATGGGTACAAGTGTTTATAAACAGTTGTCTATGCAAGATATTCCAGATCTATTGGCCAGACATCATCAGCAACAACCTACTCTGAAAGAAGATAAACCAGCTCCTAAATGAAAAGGAAATTAGAAAAAAACGATGGAGGTGGATAGGTCTCATATTGGGGAAATCACCAAACTGTATCATAAGGTAAAAGAAAGAGGCAAACCAAAAGACATATTGCGTCAACAATTGGGAAGGAGAGTCCAAGACAGAGTAGGTTGAAGATTTCTGGTTGGTGACATATGTTCCACAATGGGTAACAGACGTAAATAAGTGATATGAAGGGATGAAAAGTCAAAATTAGATTGATTCACTCACTATGATTTTTGTTCAACATTAATTCCGTTTTAATTCAATGTGATTACTCAGTACAGTATTTGTTTCGTTCTCCCCTATGACATTTTATTCTGTATGACATACGATATTCTTGTATTAAGTTAACATGAACTATACTAAGCATATGATTTGTTATAACTAAGTATTTTTCATATATGTGATTTTATTGTAATTATTAATCAAAAATGGGTGTATGAATCAATATATATATGAGTGTAATTTCGACTAAACTTGTCGCGGTTGTTCGTGCTTTTGGCTGCCTGCGGAATATATTTCCCTATTCCGAACTTGGACTTATTTCTCTAGTTAGCTGGGCTGAAACGCGTCAGAATAGCTTAGCTTATCTGTTATTGTATCACAGAGTCTTCGCTCCGTCCTCATATTAGGCGAACTCGTAATCTCTTCAAACATAGCCATAAGTCCTGACCGTTGTTGCTACCTTGACGTGGTGGTCGGGCTTGCCTATCGTGATGAAGCAACTGAGCTATACTGGCTGGAACAACCTTTCCTCAAGGTCCTACCATGCCAGACAGCTCGGTTGAAGAGCAGTAAGACTAAAAGCAACAAACCCAAGGTCGAAGGCGAAATAGTACTGCTGACTGTACAGAGGTGTGACAGCAGTAAGGTGTTTCCTTCAGACAACCAGCATAACAGCGATGCTGCCTTCCCACAAGGAGGGGTGGGGTTAGAAAAGGTCGACCCTAAAAATGCACACCTCGCCTTAGCCCACGGATATCCGTCTCCAGCGGTAAGGTCTCAACAAGTACGGAGCTAACACAAAAACTACTCATAAATGAGTCGTGTGTGACCGACCTCAAGCAGCTGTCCCTTGGGCACTGCGGTCACGCTCTCAGGTCACTGTGACCACCTCTAATCCAATTTCCTTTTCAGGTACTTCCAGAAGAACCCTTCCACGGTGTAGGCAACCGGGAAGTGATGACCGCCCTCTAACCTCTAACAGCACTCAAGACCATTGTTTCTTTATTTATTTGAACACATAAATATTGGTACAGGGGGGCACAAAATATATATGCGCCACACAAAGCTATAAGAATTCAAAGAGAAGTAAAAAATATGTAAGGAACGTAGGGAATCATAAAAAAAAGAACAAAAATGAGGGAAACGAAAAGGTACAATCAGAGGAAATCTTAAAGTTAAGGAAGAAGCAACCACTCTTTACGAAGAAATTAAAAGAAGGATACAGCAGGATCGCCACTGGCTTCTATTCTGAGCCATATCTGATAACGTCTCTAGCCACTGTATAGAGCGAAACTGCTCTCACTGACGCGTTGTAGATCCGATCTTTTACAGCCAGACTAACATCACGAAGGCGCCAAAGATGGCCCAGATTGGCATAAGCCGCTCTGGCTTTCACTATACGTGCATTGATCTCATCACTCACACCACCACCAGCACTTATGCAGCTACCCAGATACACGAACTTCTCGACTACTTCTATCTGCTCACCATCCAGAGTGAGTACAGGATTAGAATCCTGCCAGTCTTGTAGAAGTACTTTGCACTTCAAGGGTGCAAAGCACATACCATACCTACGGACACTGATTGCCAACTGATTAAGTGCGGATTGCATAGCTTGGGCATTCTCGCACAATAAAACAATATCATCCGCATACTCAAGGTCGAGAAGTCTTTCTCCAGGTAACAGATCCACACCACCATTACTTACATCCATCAGAGCTGTTTCCAGAATGTCATCGATGGCAAAGTTGAAGAGGAATGGTGAGATTGGGCAACCCTGCCTAACTCGACTGCTCGAATGGAATAATGGAGAAAGGTGGTTGTATGCCCTCACTCTGCATGAGGTGTTTGTATATAGGGCTTTTAGGATGTTAATGAACTTCTCAGGTATACCCTTCTTCAATAGACAATCCCAGAGATTTATCCCCCGATAGTTGTTACCCTTTTTAAAGATAGGGACAACTATCGACTCATTCCATCGTGAGGAGATGCAGTCCCATGGAAGCCGGTGACCAAGAAATTGGTTCATACGCCGTTTGCTCCCTCAGGATACTGGAGGCAATGTGCACAATTGATTTGGGATCCGGTTAAAGCGCCGGATATTCGCTTTTCGTCCTCTCATTTTCGTAGACAACACACCCGCAACGAGAATGCAGTGAGTAGGGCTTCCCTGACAGAGGCCGTATACGCGTGGCCGTGTGAGAGTATTTCGAGATGGAGGGCGAACTCACCCCAGTCTCGGTCATAACAGAGCATTTGGGGGCCCCCTGTATTCATAATCAAACTCCCTCTTCAATTCCTATTATTCCTCCTACATCGACTTTCAAATCTAAACTTCCTCTTTTGGCGTCCTCCTCAAGTGTCACCACAGCCAACGATTCTTGTGCGCAAAACACTGTCCCAGGTCTACTGAAACCTCGCTCCAAACTACACATTGGAGCCTTCAACGTACGCACACTATGCCAAATCGGTCAGCAGGCTTCCTTGGCTGAAACCTTAGAATCTCGTACCATTGATGTATGCTGTGTCTCTGAAACACGCATACAGGATCCTAGTGTGGTCATTCACTTGACCTCACCTCGGCAAAACGGAGACCCGACGAGATACACCCTTCGTGTATCTGGCAACCCGATGGCTAGTTCTCGTGGACTGGCAGGTATAGGCATAGCACTAAGCATGAGGGCGGAACAAGCGTTATTAGAGTGGATCCCCGTTAACAGTCGTCTATGCGCTGTTCGGCTAAACGGCTCCGTAAGAACTCGGAAGGATAGGGACACAGGTAGTTGCCTTTTCGTTGTTTCTGCCTACGCTCCCACTGACTGCAGCTCGGATGAAGTGAAAGATGAATTTTACAGAAAATTTTCTGAACTTCTTCAGAAAGCTAAACGTTCAGATATAGTACTCATAGCAGGCGACTTTAATGCCCAGGTAGGTAGCTTAAGCGAAACAGAAAGACATTTAGGTGGGTATTTTAGTATTCCGGCTCAGCGAACAGATAATGGTGATCGTCTGCTGCAACTGTGCATAGACAATCGTTTACTTTTAGCAAACACAAACTTTAAGCATAAGGAGAGACATTGTGTAATATGGCGACCCACTGCACCAAACCAACGATGGACTCAAATAGACCATATTGCCATCAGTCATCGTTGGAGAGGGTCAATAGAAGATTGTCGTTCATTCTGGAGTACCTGCTTGGACTCCGACCATACCCTAATACGAGCACGCATCTGCTTGCGCCTCACTGGACGCAAAAAAGCCACACTAAAAAGACCCATTAGAGCTGAATTGAGTAACGAGAAAAGCAAAAGTAGGTTCCAAGAACAACTGAGGTCACACTTAGGTAGTTCTGAAAACGAGGCTGACCCAGATGTTACTTGGAAAGATATACAACCAGCTGTGACATCTATTATTGACTTAAACCAAAGGGTTACTAAGAACCAATGGATTTCTTCAAGGTCTATTACACTGATGGATTCTCGTAAACACATCCCATCAGGCTCTGAACACGATGATGAGAGAAAGCAAATCAGATCTAGGTTAAGCAAAAGTCTAAGGAATGATCGTGAGCAGTGGTGGACAACGAAAGCAAAAGAGATGGAAAAGGGGGCGGCTATAGGGAACACCAGACAGCTCTTCAGACTCATAAAAGAAGCTGGAACTAAAAAGTCAGGTGTAAGTGAGACTGTCTCGGAAAAAAACGACACTCTCATCTACTCCCAGTCCAGACGCTTAGAACGATGGGCGGAACACTTTAAGGAGCAGTTTAGCTGGCCTTCAGTTACTCTACAACTACCCTCTATTCCCAAACAGTGTGAATGGAACATTGAAGTAGGTCCCCCAACTCTAGTTGAAGTTCAAAAGGTTATAGTTAATCTGAAACGAGGAAGGGAAGCTGGTCCTGATGGATTGGTTTCAGAGGTCTTTAAGGAAGGTGGTCCAATTTTAGCGACTAGGTTGACTAATATTTTAGTTAAAATCTGGGAGTTAGACGTTATCCCATCTAACTGGTCACAATCACTTATCGTCCCAATATTTAAGAAAGGGTCAAAATCATCCTGTGACAACCATAGAGGGATTAGTTTGACTAATATAGTATCTAAAATACTAGCCTCGATAATAATAGGACGCCTAACTAAGACTCGTGAACTGCAAACACGAGAGAATCAAGCTGGCTTTAGACCTAGTCGTGGATGCATAGACCACATATTCACCATTCGTCAGGTTCTAGAACACAGGCATACTTATCGGCGTCCGACAATGGTGGTCTTCCTTGATTTAAAAGCAGCATTTGACTCTGTAGACCGAGAGGTTCTGTGGCAGTGTCTGTCATTGAAAGGTGTACCTCAGAAGTACATAAACCTTGTGAAGGCTCTTTACTCGAACACTACTAGTCGAGTCAGAGCTTATAGTGAACTGTCATCTGCTTTTGCAACCTCAAGTGGCGTCCGCCAAGGCTGTCCACTTTCTCCATTTTTGTTTAACTTCATCATAGATCTACTGATGGAAATAACGCTCTCATCGACTGAATTCTCGGGCGTCGATCTCCTACCAGGAGGTCCACTTATTGACTTAGAATACGCAGATGATATAGTCCTGTTTGGTGAAGACGTTGATGAAATGCAGAGTCTTTTGGTAGCACTGAGCAACAATGCCAGAATGTTTGGGATGCGCTTCTCTCCCTCTAAATGCAAGTTGTTGCTTCAGGACTGGTCTGCGTCAACACCTAAACTAAGCATAGGGAGTGAAGTAGTCGAACGCGTTGACAACTTCACTTGTCTCGGAAGTCTGATCAGCCCTAACGGGTTGGTGTCTGACGAAATCTCAGCACGGATTCGAAAAGCTCGTTTGGCTTTCACCAACTTGCGTCACCTATGGCGCAGGCGAAATATCCGTCTATCAATTAAGGGACGAGTATACTGTGTGGTAGTTCATTCCGTTCTACTATACGGCTGTGAAACATGGCCATTAAGAGTTGAAGATATTCGTAAGTTACTAGTATTTGACCACAGGTGCCTTAGAAATATTGCTCGCATTTGCTGGGATCACCGGGTAAGTAATAGTGAGGTTATACGTAGGGTATTAGGAAATGATGGTAAGTCAGTTGATGAGGTTATGAATCTTCATCGACTGAGATGGTTGGGCTACGTGTTGCGTATGTCTGAACACCGATTACCACGACGCGCAATGCTCACTGGTGTTAAGAGTGATTGGAAGAAAGTTAGGGGCGGCCAAACTAAAACGTGGCATCAGTGCTTGAAGTCACTAACTTCGGGTCTGAGCCATGTTGGGAGATGCAGACTGCCTGGTTGGTGTCCGCGTGACTATCGTAACCAATGGTTGGAGACTCTTGGTGACATGGCTCAGAATTGATCACAATGGCGTCGGTGTATACACTCTCTGTCTTCCTTTAAACTAAGAGATTAAAATCGCTTCATGTCTTTCTTTCTACGAACTAATTCTTTCTTCCTGTACTATCTCCTTATACACAATCTTTCTTCTATATATTACCACCACTGAATTAACTACTTCTATGAATTTGGTGTTCATCTTGCTGTGCTAATGCGGTATGGCAACTTAGGTCGATGCATATACGTGCCTGGTCCTATGTTGCAGCTGACTGTCTGACTGACTGATAGCCATAAGTACCATAAATATATAGTCACTTTGACTCAATTATTATTGATAATTACCAACAGTTCTCAACTTGAAAGCTTATACTAAAATCTCCTACATAATGGCTTTTGTCTGTAGTCCATCACATACACGTCCAATAATTCCTAAACAGTATGAGTCATTTTTGTTTTGATAATTCATTTTGCTCATTATCATGAACTGTACTTTCTGATTTCCACCGATTGTTTGTATACAAACTAACACGCAAAAATTGTTTATAACACTGTTTATCTCATATAAAACTGATTGGATAGTTTTTTTGGAAGTGAAAACACCGAAAAGAAACTTTTGCTTATTGAAATATTTAGTTTAAATCGGAGTTATGCTAATCTACTTCAAAAGTCTGTAAGTTTTGATATCTAACGCATTTCAGTCCCAACAAGTCATTCCAACTAAGGTCTGTCAGTTTGTTTTCGCAGTTGTAAGCTTTTCATCATCTCTTCGTTGCTACTCTTCGGAACTTGGTTTACTTTGGACGACATCACTACTCACGAAGTTTGTTGTATTTTGAATTACATACGTAAATCAGTCGTTCAGTTAGAATCCTTGGATGAATTATATACTTATCAAATATTTTTTGACAGCACAGTAAAGTAGCACGATTTCTACAGACCCATTAAAAAATAATCAGGACAAAACGTTAAAGTATAACAACCTATATATTGTATAATAAAATAAGATAGAAATAAACAGATAAAATTTTGAATAGCAATGATATTTTATGAAATTGGGACGTACCTCAGAATGTGCTACTGCGGAAGTGATTATATTTGTATTATTGTTTGGAGATGACTTAGCAGAAGGCGTTAATATTTCACTAGTCATAAAATTATTGGAGAGATTTGTAAGTTCAATAGAGTAATCTGTAATAACATGAAAAATTCAATTAGTAGATTTGTTTCACTCAATGTAATTTTAGTAAAATACTCGTATCGTAACTGGTGATCGACAAACATTGAGGGTGATCATTCAAATAAATGTTGAAAGTAACGTGTAAATCTCAGAACAGAAACAGTAGTGTTAGGATTGTTGAATTTACGTATTGACATCTTAATCAATCACTAGAAAAAAATTCATCATTCAGAATGAAGTTGATGATTCTCAATCCCGAGTATACTTTCTCGTTTATAAAATCATGTTTCGTTTTTACTATTAACAAATAACTTTAAGATGTGATCGGGATATTTTTAATTCCTATTGGTCCAGAACCCATACCCTTCTATTCCCTCATTAAGTCGGACAAGAGAATACGGCGAGCAAGTAAACCTCCTATCTTTGCTCAATCATCCAACAATCCATTCTTCCAGTCACCATAACTTAAACAGTCATAAAATTATATACATTAATTCACAGATTACATCACACCCCATATAAGAAATCATAGTTTATAGACGACTATACCATAATTGATTTTTTTTAAAAAACGGGTAAAAAGTTGAATAATAAGTTGGGAACAGAAGACGTATAACAATAGTCAATGAGTCCCAGCAAAAGCTACAATACAGGGAATATAAAAACTCAACAATCTAATTACCTAGTAATTATTCAATAAAGAAACAAATAATAGTTCACCGTAAAAAGGTTGCGAAAGTTAAAAATCTCCCAATATTTGCTCCATTGCAATAATTAGCTAACCGATAACTTAAATAAGATCAGAGAACGAAAAGTATGGTATAGTATCACATTTCGAGATTTAGAGGTAAATAAAGATGGAATGAATCTATCACAGCGTATGTGATACTGAGTCAAAACATTCAAGATCTCGAACCACAGGTTACAACTATCGTGAGGCACGCAACTAGAAATTTAATACTTCCCGTAAACAGTCTAAATTAATAGTCAATTACAATATGGACTGATGATGTCCACCCTGTTAACCTGATGCTTATTTTCAAAAAAAGATTTAAGATATATTAAGGACACGTACGAATAAGATAATGTCTTTAAACGTAATAAAAATAAAGGGTGACTCATAAGGAGAGCTTTGGAGCGAAAAAATACACAAGTTTAGATCTACACCACACAATTCATATTAACTATTTTTAACATATATTCAAACTAAAAGGGAAACAAATATATTTCTCATTTTAAATAAGCATTCATTAACTTTGTATTTAAATCTGACTCTAGAATTTACGTATCTCCAAAGTTTGTATTTCGCATATAATTCGCTTGACCCTATTTGGGTATTAAAAGCTATAAATTCAACGTGATGGGAAGATTGTATTTCAAGCAAGCGTATTACCAGACAAATAGAATAATCGCGTAAATTCAATGTTGGATTTGGCAATACCAGCCAACTCGTTAAATAATTTTGTGCCTCAGTTGATATACTTTTCAAATGGACGAACGGTAAAATCCACGAACAAAGATAGACAACTACACATAACAAATGTACATAAATGAGAGGTTACAAGAAGTTGTATATGAATGCATACAACATAACCAATAGATATGACTATAATGACCTGAACAAAGGTCACATAAGTGTTCCGATTTGTATCAGTTAACACAAGCCCTTGTTATCAAACCTGTTATGTCAACTTACAATTAATTTCAGATGGGTTCTGTGGATATTATAGTAATTTCAATGGTTAATATCATGAGTCAGTTGAAGCTAGACCACCATGGAAAACCTAGAAACACTGGACGGTCGTTTCGTCCTATTGTGGGACTCCTCAGCAGTGCGCATCCACGACTTCGCCCCCTGCGAGATTCGAACACAGGACCTACTGGTTTCGCGCGCAAGCACTTAACCACTAGACCACTGAGCCGGCATCCGACGGTGTCAATGTCTAACTCCAATTAATCCACGAAATTGAGCGAAACTGAGTGACTGGTTTCAAGAGGTATATCCTGGAGTTCTAGTGAGAAGTAGTGACCAGTGGAGTTCAACCAGGTCTGTTGTGAGATAGTAACTCACTGAAGACAATGGTGGATGTGTCGCTCAATTTCGTGGATTAGTTGAAGTTAGACATTAACACCGTCGGATGCCGGCTCAGTGGTCTAGTGGTTAAGTGCTTGCGAGCGAAACCAGTAGGTCCTGTGTTCGAATCTCGCAGGGGGCGAAGTCGTGGATGCGCACTGCTGAAGAGTCCCACAATGGGACGAAACGACCGTCCAGTGTTTCTAGGTTTTCCTTGGTGGTCTAGCTTCAACTGACTCATGATATTAACCATTGAAATTAGAGTTAATTGTAAATTATTATTTCCCTATGATCAAACAGCTTTAATGCTAAAATATAATGAGCAAACCGATAATAGATTGTCTGATCAACAGCGAACAGTTTGGGGAGAATAATATTGAGTGCAAAAAAATGTCATTTTTAATGTAACTTCTTCTCTATCCCTTAACTGAATTATTTTCCCAATATTTTACATATTAGCGTAATAAAATGAAAATCAGATGATGGATTTCCGGCATAACAGAAAAATGGGAAATAACGATCGTGCTTAATTTGAATGGAAGTTACTGAAGTCACACATCTTCACCTGGTAAAGCTATACTTTAGGGACGGCCTTCAGAGATTTTACCAGTAACCCTAAAACAAACAATTCAGATCCTAGCCAATAAGGATATAAATTTTGTGAAAGAGTTAGGGTTTTTATCACGAACTGACATCAGTTATGATGCAAGTCCTAAAATCAAGCTCTCCATCCTAATTTTTGGCATAATACGTAAATCGTTCATCATTGGCATCGCCTGGCTGGCCAAAAGTGCTGGGACTTCAAGGTTGTTGGCAGGTATAATTCAACCTTATTTTTACTTCTTATGTCTACCGTCTTAACATAAACACATCCTGAATCGCACTGTTCATCCCACAAGAAAAGCAATCCCCATAAAATATAAAATCCAGTCAAAAACATGATATCTATCAACAAGCTATCCATCAATGAGTTTTAAATTCACGCTAATATTTGACATCGACAATCTTGGTTTCAATTAGTTGCTTAAGGGCGTCCGTACAATATAGTTTTGCCCCTACATCTTCTGCACTATTTGTCCACACAAATACTGAAATATAAAACACATTGTGACTTTTTCATAACTGCATGATGCAGTCAATCGAAAGTACTATCGAAAAACTAACTTTCCACAAATACATGTGAAAATTCAAGTAATCAATTTATTAGATATAAACAAATGTCAACAATTTCTTACCATCGTTGCTATCGAAGAGATCCTTGAAAAGTGATGAGTCTTTTGAAAAGGGTGAGGTTGAATGCATCATTGAAGCTTCTGTGATTGGGATATTCTGTTTGAATAAAAAATAAAATAAGAGTTTCAATTCAGACATTTGAAAACACAAAAAGCAAGAGGATTGTTTTCCAACTAGCTTTTCAACATGGTTGCACATTAATATGTCATAGAACAAATGACAAAATTATCAATCAGAAAACCTTATGAAGACAATGATGGATGACTAGAGCAAGAATGGGGGGTTGATATGGCGCCCTAAGATTAGACCCAACAGTTATCTCTTCATTGATTAAAGAATGAGTGACCTACAAATTGACTTACCCTAATCAAGTGATGAAAAATGTAGCCTTGATTGGTTTAATAGATTGTATATGCATAGAAATATTAATGTATATTAGAGTAAAGCCTGATGATCTAATCGAAAACAATATGTTGTTCCAATCTAAACCAACTTTAACAGCTCTTTACATCGTTAACAAAGATGAAGTCGAGAAATAATAATTCCAAAAAATACCTCTTGAAGCCAATCACTAGTGAGCACATGATGATTATTATCAGGGGTTTTTTTGTGGAGATTGTAATGATTTAATAGTTGAGTTCAAAGAAAATTGAAATTTATATTATACATTGTAATATGCAGCAAAAATAATCATATAGTTTTAGCACAAAAGTACCAACACTTTTATTTTGTTTATTCTAGTTATTTGCTAGTGGGTTATCTATTTCTTTAACATGTAAGTTGTTTTAATGATTAGCCCAAATTATCCCAAGTGTAACTGAGAAGAAACAAAGTACAATAAATTTGGCCCATTTAGTAAAATTCGTATTTTTCTTTGTTTACATTCGTACAGGGAACTAAGTGAATGGATAGTTTCCATAATGCTGCTAAAATAATCACCAATACATTATTAGACACAATATGAGATAAAACTATAAACATCAAGATGGAAAATTACATTTAAGTGTGAAAAAGACCTTGCATAAAAACCCACTTCTTTATTTTCAATAACTGTTGAGGAATTTGTGACCACATAATTTGTTGGCTTGTCAACAGCGAAAACACCAGGCAAGCTGTCAACAATAAACGACGTTTTAGACGATGTTTTTAAGGGAGAGTATTGTTGGGGAGGATCTTCTGTCGGAGGTATATTAGAGCATGGTCCAAGAAAGTCACTGACAATAAAATCAAGGATTAGGTCAAAAAAATAAGTTATAAAACAAACTGAACACAGCAAATGATATTCTTAGTTGACTCAATTGAGAATTGGTCATAGCTACTTAAGACCGTAGATAAATCCAGTTGATTTAAAACATTCGTTTACGAGCATAGTACAGACAACAATTAAATCAAAAAAACTTCCGTTCAGGTGACACAACCAATAGCTATATAGCTACATAGTATTTCCACAATAGGAAATTGTTAGAGCTCGTTAATGAGACGAACGACGCCGTGACAGGTTTTAGTATAAAGGCACACAGTGCTGACAACTCATGGAAATGACCACTTCCTAAAATATTTGCTCGTAGGATTTATTCGTACAGTGAATACCAAGGATTCAACCGTATAGGTTTCGTTAGAGGGTATTTGTTATTGGTGCATCATCAAAGTTTGAGTGGCTTGTTTGACGAAGCGTTTTGCAACCAATTTAGTTTTTTGAACGTAACAGGAAATTGTGCCGGCGGCACGTGGTGAGTCGTGTGTACGGTTCACAATTCGACTTTGTCTGACACAAATGTAGCTCCAAACAATCGACTGTTACTAGTGCTTAAGAATAAGGTTGATGGGAGTTATCTATGACATATATTTTATGTTTGGATTTAAATCATTCCAGAGCAAAAACAAGCTGTAATTTCAGTAGAAACGAGTATGTCAAATATAGTACGTAACCCACGACTCATAAAACATACTGCAAGTAAAACTCCATCGGATGAAGCTAAATTTAGTGTTTTTAGTTGATATAGCTAGTCAATTGCTCTGTATACATATAACACGCCTTAACTATCTCAATACATTCCAACACATAATTTCAGTGTATGATTCATTCATTTTGGGCAAACGGAAATTCAAGTCAAATTTTCTTTGACAAAAAACAACTTATCATCAGAAACCAATTAAATATAGTTCATACCATTTATTTTTATTAACACCAACACGTTTCTTTTTGGATATGGCTTTTTTCTGCACTGGTAAACTAAAAGGAAGGCAAATATGACAATACATAGAAACTTACCGTGAAAGAATAAGGTTTTTATTCGTGTCGCCAATAGCTTCAGTCCTAAAATAATTAGTACACAGACATTTAATAGAGTCAAAATAAAATGAAAGTTTTACTCTGAGAGAATAGTATGATACATCTAAAAACTAAGTGTCCCGTGATTACAGTAAAATCGACTGACTATAAAACAGGAGCATGCCAAATACATTGTTTAACACTAATAAATTTTGATAGTTCAATAAGACAAAACTAAATCGAACTGTTCGATCTACAGAGAGTAAAATAAAATTAAATATTCACTGAAAAACGACCTACGGCTACCAGGTTGTTAGGCCTGAAGAAATTTACCAGGATGACCAGAAATCACTAACGCCATATTACGATTGTAACGAGTTTACCAAGTACAGACCGATGTATTCGGCTTTAAGTCACTCAATTTTAGCGCGAGGGTTAGAAATATTACATGGTTGCACAAACCGAAGGTGACGCAGGGTTCGGACTTTAGACCTATCGGTTGATCGTTTGGTGCGTTGTCGTTATCAGAAATGTATAAAGCGGATGGTTTAATGGAATAGAAACTCATGGAATTAAACTAGTAAACAATCTGCTATCCATCTGCCTTGCTTCTATATAACACGACTATAAACATGATACGGTCACTCGTTTATAAATCCAAGTTAATAGTTCAGTAAAAAAACTCACACTCCAATCATCTGAGAGAAAACTGTTGCATTGGTATGAAATTCCTGAATAATCGAAAAAGATTCAATAAAAGCAAAGTGCTCCTTCTGAAAGATGGACATATTAACGAGTAATGAAAAAACCTTCTCTTCAAGATACTGAACAGAATAGCTCAAAATTCTAATTAACCAAAAACAGGTTTCGATAACGCGTATACGGCGACTAAACCTGTGCTAGCAGAAAAGCCAATTTTGTAGATATACCTGCACTTGGGTAAAGGGTCGCGTACATAGGACATGAATTTCGCGCTAATCCATAAGTTACCATCATAGATCCTAGGATACTATAAATATCAAGTTAGAACAAATTTTTTACTTGATTAGATGTAGACAGTACAGCAAAAGGTTCCTCTACGTCACAGCAAAGAAGGCTGCCCATAGTTGATCGACTTGCCGTAAAAATAAATGGAGTAACTCGAAGTAACTGAATTGCAAGTCGTTTATCAGGAACAGACCTCGCCCAGTGTGTATTCAACTTTTTTTGAAGTGAACCAGTCATACTTCCAAAATCTGAAAAATAAGACTTAGTATTGAGAATTATGACAAAATTATCTGAACGACGGAGTTCGTCGACCAATGATTTAAGAGGTAAGCAAACTGGCGTGAAAAGCGTGGTTTTATTTGCTTATGTATAATTCAAAAATTGCCAGTAAAAAACCATTGGAATACATAAAAAAATTACATGAGGAAACGAGAGGAGAGTTATTGAATAACTGCACGAACGAGGTCATTGAACGCGTAAATAAACCAAAATTTACTTTTCCTAGGACGCATCAATTGTAGGTAGAGTGCAACGATACAGGTAGCTGGGTATACTGATGAACACTTTCAGGACAGTGGTTCAGTGGTATACATGTTTGACTTCTAGTCACTAAGCCACAGGTCCGAACTTTGCAACCTGGTAGTTTTACTAACCCTGACACTGATTGTATGGATCGGGGGGAGGGCATAGACCTGTAACACCCAATGGGTTAGTAATAGTAATATCCTGCAAGGCCAGAACAGTCATCATTTATTTATTATTTATTTTAACACATAGATATTGGTACAAGGAGGCACCAAATACATATGCGCCACAGAAATCTCATTTGATTTGTGTGAGGGCTGAGATACTGTCAGGGTGCCCAGACCGAAGCAGGTGGTTTTCTTAGGGGGCCACGCCTCGAGCCTTCGACCTAAAGGTCTTATTTATTTATTTATTTGAACACATAAATATTGGTACAGAGGGGCACCAAATATATATGCGCCACACAAAACAATGATAATTTGAAGAGAAGGAGAAAAGAGAAAAAAAAGTAATGAACGTGGGGAATTATAAAAAAAAGGGAGAGAGAGAGAACAATGGTGGGGGAAACGGAAAGGTACAATCAGAACAGATCTTTCAGTTAAGGAAGATATAAACACTTTTTATGAAGAAAGTAAGAGGTTACAGCACGATCGCCACTGGCTTCTATTCTGAGCCATATCTGATAACGTCTCTAGCTACTGCGTTACACCGTCTCTCGGACTCCAACCAGGGAATCGTGAAGGACCAACAGAAGCTAGCCCTTTGCAGCTTTCTTTCATACCACGACACCATGTCATATACTGACCACCTCTCCGCTTTTTCCAACCAGTCCCAGAGTCGGCAAATAATGCACGACGTGGAATTCTCTGGGACGACATTCGTAGAACATGTCCAAGCCACCGAAGTCGGTGTTTCAAGATGGTGACACCAATTTCATTATCGTCTCTGTGACCGAACACTCGATGTCGAACCTCTGCATTACTGACATGGTGTTGCCACTGGATGCCAGCAATCCTTCGGAGACAACGATGATCGAACATAGAGAGTCGTCTAACATCCTCAACTCGGAGAGGCCAGGTTTCACAAGCATAGAGCAAAACTGCTCTCACCGACGCGTTGTAGATCCGATCTTTTACAGCCAGACTAACATCACGAAGGCGCCAAAGATGGCCCAGATTGGCATAAGCCGCTCTGGCTTTCACTATACGTGCATTGATCTCATCACTCACACCACCACCAGCACTTATGCAGCTACCCAGATACACGAACTTCTCGACTACTTCAATCTGCTCACCATCCAGAGTGAGTACAGGATTAGAATCCTGCCAGTCTTGTAGAAGTACTTTGCACTTCGAAGGTGCAAAGCACATACCATACCTACGGACACTGATTGCCAACTGATTAAGTGCGGATTGCATAGCTTGGGCATTCTCGCACAGTAAGACAATATCATCCGCATACTCAAGGTCGAGAAGTCTTTCTCCAGGTAACAGATCCACACCACCATTACTTACATCCGTCAGAGCTGTTTCCAGAATGTCATCGATGGCAAAGTTGAAGAGGAATGGTGAGATTGGGCAACCCTGCCTAACTCGACTGCTCGAATGGAATAATGGAGAAAGGTGGTTGTATGCCCTCACTCTGCATGAGGTGTTTGTATATAGGGCTTTTAGGATGTTAATGAACTTCTCAGGTATACCCTTCTTCAATAGACAATCCCAGAGAACAGTTCTGTCCAACGAATCGAAGGCAGCCCTGATATCAAGAAACACTACGATTGTTGGCCTTTGATAAGTATGGCGGTGTTCTAACACTTGGCGGAGGGTGAAGATATGATCAATACATCCTCGACCAGAACGAAACCCAGCCTGCTCCTCGCGAGTCAATCCTTCTCGGGTCCTGAACAACCTACGAAGTATGACGGAAGCCAATAGCTTGGACGCAATCGGAAGTAGACTTATCCCCCGATAGTTGTTACAGGAACAACGTGAACCCTTTTTAAAGATAGGGACAACTATCGACTCATTCCATGACGTTGGTACACTCTCTAGTTCCCAGATCTTTGTAAACAACGTCGTCAGTCCCTTAGTCAAAAAGTCACCAACATCTTTAAAAAGAGCCGGAGGTAAGTCGTCTGGGCCCGGTGATTTGTAACGTTTCAAGAGTTGGAGTTCCTTGCGGACTTCCGCCTCATTTGGTGGATCAGTCGTCACCGGCCATGGAGGGCAGGACAGTCTGAACTTAACTTCAAGCAAATACTAAATGGTTGCATGTGTGTTTTCAGTTGATTCTCAGTAAAAGTGTCCAGACTCCACAAATTTGCAACTCCGAACGTGTAATTCCAATTATAACATCTAGGCGCTTGCGTTAAAAATTTGGATCGAGAAACCAAATGGAAAAATTGCAACATAATTACTCATGTCTTAACAAATGGTTGGAGATATAATTTAAAAGGAGGAACGAGTTGTAAAACACGAAGTATTTTGTTCGATAATCAGTCAGTGAAGTGTTCTGGTAATTACCGGAAGCTCTTCTGGTAATTACCGGAAGCTCTTCCAACTCATCCGAGCCACTGGCAGCAAGAAGTTTGGTGTGAGCGAAACAATCTGCGAGGATGACGGAACGCCAATCACTAACATCCATCGACGTCTTGGACGATGGGCAGAATTCTTTGAAGGGTAGTTCAACTGGCCTGCTGCTCCGGCAAAGGTCTAGTCCACAAGGCAGTGGAGCATCGTAAGGAGATGCAGTCCCATGGAAGCCGGTGACCAAGAAATTGGTTCATACGCCGTTTGCTCCCTCAGGATACTGGAGGCAATGTGCACTATTGATTTGGGATCCGGTTAAAGCGCCGGACATTCGCTTTTCGTCCTCTCATTTTCGTAGACAACACCCCCGCCACGAGAATGCAGTGAGTAGGACTTCCCTGGCAGAGGCTGTATACGCGTGGCCATGTGAGAGCATTTCGAGAGGCCACGAGTCATTAAGACAAAATGTAACGAAACCCTAACTAATGACGGAGAAGTAGTTGCATGCTTGGACCACTTCACTTATCTGAGAAGTCTTGTCACCCCTGTAAGATCGGTATTTGATGGAATCACTGTACAAATTCAAAAACTTGAGTTGACTTCCGCCAACTTGAGGAGTAGGCATTATTACCGCCCACCAACCAAAGGACGAGTTTGCTCCACAGTAGTACCCGCCGTTCCACATTTTTGTTTTGAAACATATCCTATAAAAATGGATACTCATGTTACTAGTATTTGATCATAAGTACATCTGAAGCGCTGTTCGTGTTTGTTGGGACCGCCTAGTTAGAAATTTAGAAGGTACTAGGTAGGGATAGCTAATTGGTGGATGAGGTTGGCTTCGTCAGGAAGCGTTCATATGTTAAACCACTGCCTATCTCAACGAAGAACGTTTGCTGACATAGGAGTCAGTTGGAACAAGTTTGAAGGCGACTTAAGCAAAATATGGCACTAGACCATAAAGCCACTGATGGTTGGACACAGTTGAGTTTTTGCGTACAAATTGTTTCGACTTCGCGCGATTATCGTAGCCAAATATTGGAAATATAATATTTTCTTTGTCTAACCTTTTATGTTACTACTGATAGTGTTACAACCTCTACTACTCTAGGATTTTACTTGACAACTTTATCTCGCTGTGCTAAAGTGATCTAGGTTACCTATGACTGATCTCTTGGAATCGGTCTCTTACCTGGAAACTCAATCATCGACTTAGAGTACACAGATGGACCAGCTTTGTCTGGTAAAAGCCTTGAAAAAGTGCAGTTTTCGAATGTTTTGAGAAACCATTTAAGTATGTTTGGGATGCGTTTTTATCCTTCAAAATACAAAATATTGCATCAGAACTGATGTATACCAGTGTTTAGTTTGGTAAACAGGGATGAAATAATTGGACAAACAGGTGTCCTGGCTGCAATACAACTAACACTGATTACTAAACATGAGCAGTTTTTTGGATCCGTATCAAGATTTCTTCTGGCATAAACCCACAAGCGGTGATGACACTCAAGATAAGTGAAGTAGTCAAGCTATGCATCGGTGCAGACCGGTTTTTAAGTACATGCTTAACATGCATGTGTTTTAGCTTTTCTTTCGTAACCATCATGTACATTTTATTTTTTGTGTTGATATGGGCTGATGAACAATCATGACCGCTTTTAAGATTATCAATAACTAGTTGAGGTTAGAAATAACAATTCAGGGGGCAATCAAGTGTCGTGAACGCCAATGGAGTAGAAAACTAAGAAAAGGTGGATGTATATTTCCCCAATATAAAGGACTATATACACCAGTTCATGATTACTTAGTATTCTGAGCAATGATAAATCAACATGAACCATACAGTGACAGCATACATATGTGAAAGCACTTCATAAACAAGCTAAGGGACGCGCATAACTTGAAAAAGGTCGGTATATATATTAGTAGCATCCCACCAGATGATTCTACAGTTCAGGCCAAAAATCTGGTAAGAATAAGTAGGTGACTCCTTAGGGTAGTCTTAAGGTTGAAAAAAACAAGGAAAACTTTTTTTAACTAGTGCTTGAAGTCAAAATAATACCGACGTCCGAATAGGACCTGACATTTCTCTAGAAGATAGAACATAAAGGAAGGCAGGAATCGCTGAATTAGAAATCCGTCGGAGAAAATGGTGAAGAACATCTCCGCTTAGTGGGTTTTCGAATAGTCAGGTCTTGGAAGCGAATGCTATCAAGGCTTGTATGGACACGTCGTTCTCTTTAGGAGTCTTATATACAAATGCTCGTAGTCTTAGAAATAAATTTCATGAACTAGAACCACTAATTGGAGAATTAAAGTAACTTATTATAGCTATGACCGAAACTTCGTTAGTGCATGACTTTGACGTTACTCCAGAATTATCAGGATACAACTACCTATGATTATGAAAGCAATGCTGTCTGGTATGTCTTTGTGGCACTCTAGACTGACATGAGACCAAAAGACACACGACCGAACCATCCAACTCAGAGAACAAAACTCCATCAAAATCATCCACCTGAGCTAAAAATCTTCACCACCAACAAAAGACGCAATTATCTGTCCGGTTTACAAAGCACAGAATAGAGATTTAGTTAGCAATTATCGACCCGTTAGTCTAGCCAGTGTAGTCAAACTAATGGAAAAGATAGGTTGAATGGCTGTTCTAAATATGTAGAAGAGAATCATTCAGCTGGAAAACGTAGTTTTAGGAAAGGCTTTTCAAGATTGGATTGCATACATTCCGGCAGATTTAATATTCACAGATCTAGGTAAAATCTTTGACAAGGTCCCTCACACAGGTCTTAAAATAAAGCCTCGTGATCCATTATGAACCGACTGGACTAAATAAGTGACTTTCTCAGTGATAGGAGACAACAGGTACGGGTAAATAGGGCTTTATCAACATGGGAATCATTAAGAAGTGAAGTTACCCAACGTACAATCCTCAGCCCTCTTTTTTATGGTATGTAAATGACTTACCAATGGTACCAAAGTCATCTGTCCTACCCTTTGGAGATGACAGATACTATGGGACGGGTTTAACAGCAAGGGGCCAGAATGGCAAAAGGTCTCGCTGACCTATCTTACAAAGACAGGCTGAGACGCCTCAACCTGTTTTCGTTATCTTACCGCAGGTTATGGAGTGATTTAATACTGGTCGACTGTATACTCTTGGTATTAATATCCATCCAGGGCTGATCGTTTGAGGGGACATTGTAAGAAAGTCCAAAAACCGAGATCGAATCGTTTACGTCTGGAGTAGCGTTTCTCACACCAAGTAGTGAATTACTATAACATGTGATATCAGCACGTTTTGTTAATGGAAAGCGGGATTGGATCTTCATATTGCTACAAGCCTTAAGGATTAACATGGATGGGTTTACATCATATCCTTACTACTGAAGTAGATGTGGAATTAAAATCTGGTCACATTTACGACCGATAATTTTGAAGACTTCATGCCAAAAAACGGGTGCTTTGTTTAAGACGCCAAAGAAAACGCATGTAGAATGGACTACAATACATTACAAGTACCCGGACAAATATTTTACACGCTTTCTCTAGAGGTAATTACCCTACACCTAACTAGAACATAGTTACTGTTAGAAAATTCCCCTGTTTTGTGAAACTTTAATGAACTAATGTTTCACAAAATAGTTTTTTTTTGCTTGGTGGATGAGACAAGGCTGTGTCCATAATCCCTCAATGCCTTAGATTAAATTTCCATGTTGAAAAATATTTGGTCAACTATTTCGTAGGCCAGAAAAGGACATGGGGTGAAGCACGTTGGACGTGGAAACAAATGCATGAGACCACGTACATTTATCGTAAACCTGGAACTAAGCATGAAACAGTCAGCCTTAAATGTTATATAATCCAACGTTTCTTGACAAAAGAACTTAATACTATATACTGTTAGGCATACTGCTAGGTTTATCTACGTATATTTGGATGAGCGAAATCATCTACCACGACTGCTGGTTTATTTGACAAGTTACAACACTCAAAAAAACTTTATAATTAAAATCTAAAGCCATCTCCCTTCAACCTACATTACAACTCAAATGGACAGAAACAACCACGTTTATACGTTGACCGTACGTCAAGGTCGTGACAACCAAAAGCAGTGTACTTAAAACTTCAGTCTTCAGTAATAAGGATAGGAGGTCTATCGACCTGTATTAATCCTTGCAGTTTGTAATACTGTGGAGGTCCAATCTCGTCTTGAATATATCAACAGAAGGTGCTGATATTACGTGTTCCGGTAGAGAATTCCAATAATTCACTACTCGATGAGAGAAACGAAACTCCAGACGTAAACGATTTGATCTTGGTTTTTGAATTTTTTTGAGTGTCCTCTCAAACGATCAGTCCTAGACGGAAGTAAAAGATAAGACATGTTAATACCAAGGTCATCGTTCAGTATACGATAAGCCAATATTAGATCACCCCGTATTCGACGGTAAGATAACGGAAATAAGTTGAGGTGTCTCAATCTGTCTTCATAAGATAGTCCAGAGAGACCTTGTACCATCTTAGTACCTCGTCGTTGGACTCGCTCTAGCATATCTGCTTCATACTTGAAACAAGGACTCGCTGCTTGAATTCCATATTGTAAATGTGGTCGCACATAAATCGGGTATAGTAATCTAAATATTTCATCATTTAAATACTGAAAAGACCTACGAATATACCATAATACCCTATAGTCTTTCGCAGCAGCAGGCTTACAGTGACTGGTGGTTTTGAGATCACTACTTAATATGACTCCCAAATCTTAATAGTTTCTTACTTTGGGTAGTACGAATCCACGTATTGTGTAGTGATACGATTTATCATTGTTATTTAATTGCATCACCACAATCTTATTAGGATTTACTTCAAGTGACCACCTGTCTAACCATGCCACCAATGAGCTAAGATCATTCTGTAATACTATTCTATCTGACATACTGTGTATGGGTCTCCAAATTTTTATGTCATCAGCGAATAGTAGAACGGATGATTTTGCTACAGTTGGTAATTCATTTACATAAAGTAAAAAGAGAAGAGGACCGAGGATTGTACCTTGGGGAACTCCACTTTTTACAGGTACCTACGAGGAAAGAGCCCTATTAACCCTTACTCTTTGTCTCCTGTCATGGAGAAAGTTACTTATCCAATCTACGACTGTATAATGGATTCCGAAGCGTTCCAGTTTGGATTTGAGACCAGAATGGGAGACTTTATCGAAAGCCTTACTTAGATCTATGAAGATCACATCTACAGGAATATTCTGATCTTTTACAGCAGCCCAATCTTCTCTTGCAATGAGAAGATTTGTCAAGCACGATAGGCCCCTCCGAAAACAATGTTGCTCCCTGGAGAAAAGATTATGCCTTTCAACATAGTTTATGACAGATATCCGAATGATTGTTTCCATCAGTTTTACAACTGCACTCGTTAAGCTAACGGGTCTATAGTTACTAACTAAATCCCTACTCCCAGCCTTATACACTGGACTTATTATAGCGTCTTTACAGTCTCTGGGCAGTCTGGACTGCTTCAGAGACATGTCAAACAGTATCGCTAAAGGTTAAGCAATTACATCTGATATGGCTTTCATAATCCTAGGATGAATATTATCAGGACCACTGGACTTATCAGGTTTGAGATGCTGAAGTAGCCTTAAAACAGTACCTTTCTCAATGACCACGGGATCCATCAGCGAGCCGTTACGGTCATAATTAATTGTTGGTCGTTCCTTATTAATGATAGAAAACACTTTACTGAAATATTTCTTTTTCTGTATCATTCTCTGCCAAGATTAACGGGTTTTCTTGTATCAAAAGTGATGGAATTCCATCACTTCTCTGAGTTCGCCTTTTTATATACGAGAATAACCGTTTCGGACTATATATAGAATCCCTAACCAATTGCTTTTCGTATGATCGTCTAGTCTTACTTGTTAAAGCTTTACAGGCATTCCTAGTCTTATAATAACTGGATCGGTATTGTTCTGAGCCCGTAGAGATGAACATGTTCCAGTGCTTCTTCCTTCTTCTAAGAAGTTTCTTAACTGGTTTGGTTATCCATGGTGGACTATTGTTCGGTCTTCGCGGTACCAGGTATGGTATGAACGAGGACGTAACTAAACTAAACTTACCTTTCAATACAGACCATGCTTCTTCAACTGATAAGCTAGTATCTACAAACCAATCTGTCTTAGCACCGCATTCCTGAGTGGCTGATATGTTAGCTTTCCATATATTTGGGCGGGGTGTGACCTGATAGTCAAACATGTCCCTAGTTCTAAACGAGAAGGACAAAACAGCGTGATCACTGTTCACCAACTGTGGGAGGACATTTAGGTCGACAATATCTTCAGTATCATGAGTGATTACCAAGTCCAACAGAGAAGAACCTTGGTTAGCACCAAAACGTGTAGGTTTGGATACATGCTGCACTAATGCATGCTCCATTATTGTTATCAGGAACCTACTATCAAAGGAAATTATAGATCCTTCTGTGGTCATTTCAGTCCAACTAATGTCAGGTGCATTAGTCTTCTATTATCAAGCATCTGTTATTGGTACTCCAAAGATGAATGTGCTCTAGAATAAAGTCATCAGCTAAGCAGATTGGGCTGCGATAGATGACACCGAGCATAAGCGTACTACATCCGATATCCAATTTACAGCTAATAACTTCACAAGTACCGCTGTCATGGGATTCGCTAACAATTCGCTAACAGATTCAGATTCAACATTGTGTAGTAAGGACAGAAGGCTTGTGACATAAGTTGTTCCTTTTCTAGTATGCTTCCATGGGTGTCTAGTCTTCTCTTGACTGAGTCAATTGAAGGTGCGGACACTACTGCTTAGGGTAACAGGTCCCAAGAATTGATGACTCGGTGTGAAAGCCTGTATGTCACGGATAATTTATCCGTTCTAGGCTTTTCTACTCGCCTGCATTATCCTCTGAAATGTCCCGATCTAGTGGGAAGAAAAAGAGAGGATATGTTAAGCCAAAAATCATTTCTTGGTATTCTATACACCAACAGGAGATCACCTCTTAGTCTGCGATAGCACAGAGTAAGGAGGTCTGGCTTTTAAAATCGCCCTTGGTATGGTGAAACCTGGGTAGCTTTCCTCTGTATTTTTTCAGGATATCCGAGTCACCTTTTAAACAGGGGCTGGCAGCCTGGACGCAGTTCACAAGCCTAGTTCTCACCAGGGTTGTGTATACTGTGGTGAACATGGTAATATTTAACTTGGCGAATATCCGTCATATAGCCTATAGTGTTCTGAACCCCTTAGCTGCGACCTCCCGGAGATGGGCTATGGTCTTAAGATCATGACTCACTGTCACCCCAAGATCCTTGTGAGACCAGACCACTGGTACAGGCATTTCTCCTGTGCTGTACCTATGTGCCTTTGCATGTAGACACACCTTGTCGTGTCGGTAGGTATCAGCCACTCCTTGGACCAGTTAACCACAAGATTTAAGTCTGCTTGAAGTGCGCATGCATATGCGTCTCCCGTTATTTCATGTCAGATTTTTATATCGTCAGCGTATAACAACATTGACGACTCTACTATACTTGGGAGATCATTTACATACAGTGTAAAAAGTAAAGAGCCTATGACAAAACCTTGTTCGTTGTTTAACAAGTTGTTGGTTTCCACAAATGTCATTATGGTCTTTTTGACTATTCTTTTCAGTAATTTAAATACGACACCGGTGATGCTGACAGGTTTGTGGTTCGGTGGAAGTTGTCTTGGTCCTGTTTTATGTATGGGTGTGACGGTTGCATCCTGCCGATCCATAGGTAACAAACCTTGGTCAAGTGACATGTTGAATATCGCAGTTAGAAGGGATGCGTTATATTGTGCAGTATGTTTCATGATTTTGGGGTGCAGTTTATCCGGTCCTGTTGACTTTATCGTGTTTAAGCTGCTAAGAGCCTTAAGTACATCATCTTGAGCAAAGTCTGCGGTGAGCAGACGGTTTGTTGACTCTTTATTTGAGTCTAGTTCTTCTTCTAGAATGAGCTCCTGAGTGAAAACTGCCCCGAAATGGTATGCCGTAGCCTCTGATTTTTCCTGACCATCCTCTATCATTTCAGATCCACTCCCTTCATCAATTAATTAAAGAATGTAATGCTGCATTGTTGTTCTGTAATTTATGTACGAGAATAGTCTCTTAGGCTGCTTGATTGCAAATTGTGCCAACTGCATTTCATATTTTCTCTGAGCTTCCTGGAGTCTAGTTATACACTTATTTCTTACTAACCTGTAGCGTTCCATATTACTTACTGTGCCAAGGCTGGTGGTAACGTTCCAACATCCCTTCCTTTGTCTTAGTAAACGTCGAATATCCCGGCCTATCCAGGGATAGTTTTTCTTCTTCTTTGGGACTGTTAAGGGTATATATGGCCGAGTTACTTGATTGTATAACTGTCTGAAATGAGTCCATGGCTCTTCTATTGATGTCCCCTACATCATCACCAACATGTGAAATTAGTGATGAAATGATATCTTAAGTTGTTGAAGGCTTAATAATAGTTGTGTTTGTTTTGAAGTAGACCGTCAGTGAATGACGAAGAAAGGTTTGAGACTGAGTTTGGCTCATGTAGGTTTGCTGTAAACCATGTTTTGATGTCCAAATGACTGTAGTCTTCGGCCTTGAAACAACATCGTCTGTCTTTCTTTGGGCGAGCCCCTATTAGTTTATAATTTGTTTTTAGGGTTTATAGGCTTAATTATATTTGGTATGCTATGTCAAATAACATGTCGGTTCAAATGAAACAACAATTGAGATAACTCTTTAGTTTAGTAGATTTGGTTGTCGTATAGTTCATTTCAGTACATATGATAGCAATGCTTGAAGGAAGTAACAAAGTACATGATTTTGGTGACCAGAATTGCTTGATTTTTTATTTTTGTTAGTGTACTCAAGCGTCAAAATTATAAAAAGATCGGTACGAGAGTATGAATATACTTTAATGCAAATTTTCCTCGATAGTTGAATTTGAGAGCCTGGAACTTGTTCAGTGCATGAGGAGTGCATTGGATGCGATCATGGCGTATCATATATATTATATTCCTCCTCACCCAAACAAATCGTCTACCCG